TCCCAGCCATGCTCCTGGGATGAATGAGCCATGGTCGCCTTCTTCAGCCCTTTCAGCCTTGCTCCAGTCACTGGCAATAGCAAACCTCCACTGGAGTGATCTCCCAGCAAGGTGAATCCTAATATAACCGCTCTCCGCAAAGGGACGGTGCTTCTTCCGTGGCCCAGCCATTAGAAACTATTTTTACCTGCTTCCGCAGGCGCAGATGGGCCAGAAACAATCCAAGCTCAGCGCCCGTTATGCTTTGCCCAAAAGATTTGCTCCCTGCTTTTGCTGAGCTGCCAAAACAGTTGCAATGGAGCAGGTAAAAAGTGGGTAAGTCATGGCCAGGCAGCTGCCGGAGCGTGCTGCGAGCGACGGCCGGGGATGACAATAGAGAGATGGAGAAGAGTTATTCATGTTTCCCCGAGAGCCAAGATCAGTTGAAACATCATTTTCCTCAGGGACGGAGAGGAAAGAGCTCCCTTCAAACACATCGTCCCATGAGACTCATTAAAGACTCATCAATTACAGTGAGAGCAAACAATTCAGGGGAAAGCTATCATAAGCTCCCTTTGGATGGCAGTCATTAGCAGCTCTCCGCTGTGCGCTGCCTGCGCTGCCTCTCCCCAACGCCAGCTCCAGCGAGTGGGAAGGGGAGCAGGGGGGCACCGCTGCCAAGTCGATGTGGGGGGAAAGCAGGAGCCCAATGGCCCCAGGGCCAACAGGAGGGGAGCAGGTCTCCCCAGCGTGCCGGGGGCCATGTGGCTGTGCAGTAGCATCCTTGTGGCGAGCACAGGGTGGAGATGAGTGTGCAGGCTGGATGGGCAGGGGACTTGGAGGGGAGGTGGGGGCCCTGTGTAGTAGGCTTCTGTTGTCCTGTGTCCTCACCCAGACTCTTTCTTAAGGAGCCTGGGGCAAGGCAGGATCGGGGCCGTGGTGAGAGCTGGACAGGAGGTGCACAGGGATGGAGCAGCTCTCTGGGTCTCCAACCGGTGAATGGTTCCTCAAGCCCTACCCAGCACAGCAGCAGGGTCATGGTGTCAGGCTTGAGCAGGGGGTGCTGGTACCCCAAGGCTGGCTCAGCCCCACGGGGAGGGAGAGAGATGAAGAGATGCTCTCTGCCCTTCTCTGCCTTACTTCCCTGCTCTGCAAAGTGGGGTTATGGACAGAAAAGAGGCTGTAAAACCCAGAAGGATCCTCAGAAGGAAAGCAAACGGCTGGGATAGCTTTTTAAAATTCTTTTTTAAATCATTATTAATGAAAGCTCAGGACCAGTGGCTGCTTTCCCACCCCCAGCACGGCTCCTGCAGGTTTGCGGCACTTACCCCTGCCTGCACCCCCTTCCTAAGCCTGTGCACGGGTGTCTCCTTCCCTCGCACGTGGGCTTGGCACCAGATGCCGCTCCAACCGCTCGCTGCTGTGACCTCCAGGATGCTGACTTGGAGAAAAAACTGTTCTTTATGGCTGTCAAAAAAAAGAAAACAAGAAAAACAAGAAAAAAAAGGGACACTTTCCTGTAAACTTTCCTTGGCGCTCCAAGCTCCGTGATGTTCCCTGGTGGAGGCATTGGCAGCGTCAGGCCACACTGCACCACTCTGAGGGACGGCAGTGGCTGAACGACCTGCACTAAAATAAACTCGTAAATACCCCGTTGTGCACACAGTAACATCTTGGGCCACACATTGCTCTGGCTGCTTTTGCTGGGAACAGTGTAAGCTGCTTCCTGTTTAACGCAAAACGCAGTTGTGTTGTTCCCATGGGTGCTGCGGCTCCTACTGGGTGCGTGCTGGGGCTGCTCTCCCCGGGCTGTGCCCCACCACAGCTGCATCCTACGTGGGCTCGGAATGCTCCCTGAGAAACAGCACTATCCCCACTAGCCTTGACCCACGAGCTAAAGAGGAGAAACACTCCCGGCTCTTCCAATCGCCTCCGGAGCCAAAGGGACCATATTGCAACCAGCCCTTTGCTGGAGCAGTCCCGGGACTGGAGCGGGGCCATCGCTGCCTCCTGCAGGACGCAGCGCAGGTGTCTGCCCCACTGCTGCTATTTAAGCCTCATTGCTAAGTAGCTCCTAACCTTTCCCTTCATCCTCTCTTTCCTGCGATGGCTGCCCGCCCGAGGAAGATGAGCAGAGGCAAACAGGAGTAGCAGCTCCCACCCAAGGGACTGGGCTAATGTCATTTACTCCAGTCTCCACCAGCTGGATCTTGGCTGGGGAAAGATGTTGTGCACAGAGCGTCGGCCAGCATGCGTCCTTGGGCTGCAGGCCCGGAGGAGGAGGAGGCAGAGAAGCCGGGAGAAGGGGTTAAAGCCGAGCTGCTGAGCAGGAGCAGCAGGGAGACCCAGATGCAGAAACCTTGGCACAGAAGGGGCTGGCAATCAGGGCTGGCCGAAGGCGCTCGGCTGCTCGCTATTAAATAATGCAGCCTGATTGATTGGGCTGAAAAGTGCTGTGTTGCAGGGTCAGCTTGCTGGGGTTAGAGTTCTCCGCTTAGATTGATGATCCTCAAAGGTCGAATTCAGAAAGCAATTCCCCGGTAAAATTGATCCTTTGGATAACAAAACTTTTGCACGGCAACGAAGGGCCGAGCAGTGAGAAATGTAAGTGCCCCGGGTGCAGGCAGGCAGGGGACCAGCCACCTCTGCTTTCTCTTGATTTAATTTCCCTGGTTTACACTGATGAGGAAGCGAGGGTCTTCTCTGGGAAGAACGGTACCCCATCACCCCTCCACGCAGTGGCGGGGGGTTAGCACCCACCTCATCCCCATCCCACTGGCCGTGGGTGCCTTTACATGGGCAGGGGGTGGCTGGGGGCTGTCCCAGGAGCTGGTGCTCAGCTCCCAGCCCTCCCCAGCAGCAAACGAGAGGTGTGTGCATCCAAGCAGGCACGTCCGACTGCCTCCTGCACGCATCCCTGCCTCGCTCTCCCGATAGCGAGAGGGCTGGGTCCTATGTCTTGGCAGAGGTTTTGTAGCTGGAGCCAAATAAACGGCAAGCAGGTTTCACCCTCCTGCACAGCAGCAGTATGGAGTCAGCAGCAGCACCCCGAAACGGCTGCTTGGCCCTCAGCAGAGGAGGCCAGGAGTGAGGATGTGCTGCGGGTGGAAAGGGGTGACTGAGGCTGTCCCAGGCCATGGCAGGTGGTGGTCACCCAAGGCTGATGTCCCAACTACAAGCCTAGCATGGTCAAGGATAGGAGCCAAGTGCACCCTCCATGTCATCCCAGACCTCAGAGAAAGCAGGGGGGATGCCAGACCCTGCCTTCCTTGTACCCGGTCCCATGAGGCTCTCAAACACCCCCTCAGTGGGATTTTAAGGCTGTACCCTGGAGCCAGCTCTCATCCCCTCGCTCCTGCCAGCAGTAGGAGGGAGGAGAGCTGCAGCTCCCAGAAGCTGTTGCTCTGATTCAGGCTGGGCCCAGAGCGGCACTGGTGAGGCTTTGACCTGCTTTAACCCACTGTCTCGCCTGCTTTGCTCCCGTCTGCTCGTTTTGAAGTGAGAGAAGGAGGCCACGCTGGGCGGGCGCTGAATAATTCAGAGTCAGGCTCCGCTGCACCCCAGGGCTGGGCATCGCCTCTGCCAGAGGGCTGGGATGGCTCAGCCAAAATCCTTCCTCACCAGAGGCTGAGGGGACACGGAGCTGCCGAAATACAGCATCCCTCCTGCAAAGGTACCGGCCAACGCCGCCTCCTTCCCCCAGATGCTCGGATTCAGGGCTTGCTCCCAGAGCAGCAGCGCTCGGAGGCTGGGAGTGCTTTCAGCCGTGACGCGGCATCTCCAGCTCTCGCTAACACACAGATTCCAGCGGAGCGTGCTGAGCCTGTCTGCCTCTGCTCCAAAGACCACGTTTTCTTCCTTCCTCCCTTTCAATTCCCTCCTCTGCTTGGTCAGAGATAGAGCAGGGTTGTAAGACACAGAGAGAGAGACTGTTCATCCAGCTTATCCTTAGCCTCTGAGCAGGGTTTGGAGCCATTAAGGGCAGGGAGGGGAGGGGGAGGAAAAAAAAAAAAAAAAATCACACATGATGTCAGCTTATCCAGCCATGGGGGGTTGGAACACAGCAAAGGCAGCCTCACCGGCTCAGGCAGGAGCCTGTGTGTATTATTGCCCAAAGCAGTGAAAATCCAGCGGGCTGTGCTGGGGATCTGCTGGCTGGAATGAAGTGAGAGGTTTTGGTCCCCCAAGTCTCTGTCTGATGGCCTCAGCTCGGGCCCAGGAGTCACTAGAGCCACGTGTGAGTTACGGGCTCAGCCTCCGTGCTCTGCGCAAGTCACCTCCGGAGTCTGAGCAACAGGAATTATTGTGCCCGGAGATGATTATTCCCTGCATACTGCACTACAGCTCATTAAAAGTTTGTTAATGTTTGCAAATTGCTGAATAGTGTTTTTCCTTGTTGCCTTCTCTGATGAGGCGGGGACTAAAAGGCAGGTTCTGATGTTCTCTGCGTTATTTTGGTCACAGCAGGCTGGGGCTGTGCTGCACGCAGGGAACAGGGTTTGCGTTGTGCAACTTCATGCCACGGGAGAAAACCTTCTTGACTTTAGCGCGTGCGCAGGGGTGAAGGGGCCGAGTCCCACCAGTGTTAGTCGTGTTCCTCCATCTAAAGCCCGAGGCTGTCCTTTGTGCCTCCAAGTAAATGCCTACATCTGAGCTACTCACCCAGATCTCTGTAAGAGCCTGACACGTGTGTGAATCCTTCCGGGAGTCATGGCTGGAGATGCTGACTTACCATTAAATGACTTGTGCTACAGCAGTCGGATGGTGGGAGTAAAGCATCTCTCATCTTGGAATAGAGACTGCAGATCCACCTTGGATGAGGACATGTACATTGTAACCCCAGCACCAGATACCTGGGGAAAGCAGCTGAGTTCAGTGAAGAACTCCTGCAGAAGGAACAGGAAAGGGGTCACCTGCCCGGCTTCACCGCTGCATTTTCACACACACAGACAGCACTGCGCTGGGGGCAAGGGGGAGTCGCAGTAATACCTGACAGCTCTTCTCCTGTCTTCCTCTTCCAGGTGTAAATGCAACCTCCACGCCAACCTGTGCACCTTCAAAGAGGGCAGCCTTCAGTGCGAGTGCGAGCACAACACCACAGGGCAGGACTGCGGCAAGTGCAAGAAGAACTTTCGCTCCAGGTCTTGGCGAGCAGGATCCTACCTGCCTCTCCCCAACGGGTCCCCCAACGCATGTAAGTAACCTGCAGCGAGCCAGCCCTGGCCGCACGCACAGCTTGGGCTGCACAACGCCCACGGGTGAGTGCGGATTCTCATCATGTCCCTCTCCATCTCGGATCAGTGCGCAGGCTCTGCAGGATGCTCAGCTTTTGAAAGGGAAGTGGGTATGTACAGAGAAACGCGAGAGGACCTGGGTGGATGCAGAGGTGGTTTGTTGGCCACAGGCAGATGAGTGATGAGCCCAAATGATGGTCAAGAGCAGGAAGGATGACCTTGGGCCAAGATATAGGTCCATGGCTTTGTGGCAATGCAAATTACTGTCCTTTGAAGAAGACATTAGTTAGCCACAGCAGAACACTGGCTTTCGAGTAGTCCATGGGCGCAGCGCTGGCACTGCTCAGCTGCAGGAGTGCAGGTTGCCTTCTGGATCTCTTTCTGAATCCCGTTCCGTGTATGTCGGCATTTCAGGCAAGCGCCGTGAGCTGCGGTCCCTCTGCGCAGCTCCAGTCTCATCCAATTGTCTGCTGGAGCATGGCACTGACAGAAGCAAAGGCGCACAACCAAGATAAAGGATGCATCCCCACTGTCGGTCGAGCAGGGGATTTGGGGCAGGAAACATCACAGATGGGCCAGTTTCTCCTGGGTTTCTGGCCAGTCCACGTTAGCAGACTTGTTTAAATGTCATGGAGCCACAGTAGCCACTCCAGCCTTTCAAGCAGCAGCTTTGAGCATTACCAAAGAGAATCTTTTCCCTCCCTCTCCCCAAATTTTTTGAAAGATTTATGTGCTTTAAGATGATCAAAGCTGAAATTCAGGCTCCAAAGGCCGTGACGGGAATGTTTTTTGTGTGCCAGGGCTGGTAGACGAGCAGGTTCTTTGAAAGGGAACGAGCTTGTCAGCTCCCACCATGCGGCTGCATTGCTTCAAAGGAGCCTGGGAGAGTTTCTGGTGTTGACAGGCACAGACATGCTGTTCTATCTTTCCCTCCCCTCTGTTCCTTGTGTCTCTTCCTATTTCTCCTTCTCCTCTGCTCTTTCTTCTCCCATTCATCTCTCTCCCTGTCTGTCACTCAGTCTTCTTCTCTGCCCCCTCCCGACTCTCTCTCTCTCTGTTGCTTCTTCCTCCCCCATAAACATCATCCTCTTCCTCTGCAAGAGAGGCAGTTCTCTGAAGCCCTCTCCTCTTGGTGGTCCTACCTCTTCCATTACTGCTCCTGTGCTTTATGTTCATGCAAAGCTGAGACTTTCCATGATTCATCCACTTGTTACAGTAGGAAGGACTACGACCATTAGTCTCCTGGGTGCTGAAAGCCAGAGTCTTCAGTCTTTGGATGGCCTTGGACTGGTGGGTTTGAAGCTGCAGGCTTTGCAGCATCCTGTTGAGCAAGTGCAGCAGTGGGAAGGGTGTTCAGCCCTTCTTGCTCACAGAGAACTGCCTCAGGCACAACAACCTGGTTCAGACCCTGCAGCTTGTACGTAGCCCAGTGAATCTCAGATGTGCTTGTCCTTTGCTGGGCTTTAATGGTAGATCAAGAAAATGGTTAACAGAAAAACCCATCGGCAGGGACCACGCTGGTTTTGCTTCCCCAGGTGAAAGGCTTGAGATGCCAGGACCCCAGACAGCACTGTCTGGTCGCCTCTCTGGCTTGACAAAAGCAGCTTTTAAGATGTTGCAGCAAACTGATATGCCTATGAGCAAGACCCCTGCTAATTAATTGCTCTTCAGTCCCACGTTATGTATCTGTTTGATATTCTGCTGGTATCAGAGCCGATGGCGTCCTGCTTCCAGTGACCGGGCTTCTTCTTGTGTTTTCCAGGTGCAGCTGCAGGCTCAGCCTTTGGCAGTAAGTAAAAACATAACTGAAACGCTGGCATTTAACACCTCCGTGCATGGTCCTTGCGGATGTCACTAGGAAAAAAAAAATGGTTATTTTCTGTCCATTATCATTTTCCAGGCAATAAGTCTTCCCTAATTGTGCCTCATTTTCTGTCCTGTCAAAGAGTCCTATATTTTCTTCCTTTTGACTTCAGTAGCCTCATTTTGCCTCATCCTCTGGCATGGTTTCCCCCATGAGGTTCGTTAGAATGGCAGCCGGAAAGGAAATAAAAAAAGACTCTTCAAAACCACCAGTGCTCGCTGTGAACTTCCCCCCCACCCCCCAACTCAGTATTGCAGATTTCTGCTCTGAGAAGGAGCTGGGTTTGAATTATTTGGCATAGCAGCCAGTCTGGGTCACCTTGGGCTATCGATAAAAAATATTATAGAGAATGTGTGTACATCTTATGTACACGTGTATGTATATGAACGTACGTCTCTGAAGCGTCGGCAGCGAAGGCAGTAGAGCTCAGCAGGGATTTCTGTTGAAAGATTGATGGTATGATAGGACTCCTTATTTAACAAAGCTGGAGGTAGTTTGATATCAAAGAGCCTTGAGTTTTGGGTAAGCAGAAGCTTGGGGTTGAATTTTGTGGCTCGGAATTACCCTCCAAGAAGAAACCAATCAGAGAGCTGAATGAATAATGAATTCTTTGGTTTGCAGGCAAGTAGAAAGAATAGGAGGAGAAATAGTTTCAGAGAAATGCAAATGCAATTAAGAAAAACGCACCTAATTGAAAAGTGGAGGATGGGGTTTCTGGGTAAATGAACCTTATGTAGATTTTAAGCGGTTAAATTTAAATGGTTAAAGATTTCAAGTGAAAATTAAGTCTCCCTTAAGTAATTTAGGATTTAAAAAAATTAAATGATTTAACAGTCCAATATATTATTTGCTTTTCTGGTCAAAACCATTGTGATAACTCTCTTTTTCCCCCCTTAACAGAGCTCAGCATCCTCAGTGCTACCTTTGTTTCACTGGAAAATGTTTCCCATCAAAATTTTCTGCTAAAGAGAAGCTGGGGGGTTGCTGGGAGCGACGCACAGGAGATGGACAAGAGGGATTTGTGTCCAGGGCCAGTTAAGGAAAGATTATTTAGCCCGCATAGGAGACTAGAAGTGACCTAAATTAAGTATTTAAACTAGCTCAGGGCTATTATGAAATTAAGCACGATAATCTGCATGAAGCAGTGGGACAAACAAGGACAGGAGGGCAGCAGGTGTAAGTTAAGTAGGAATTTGTGTTCGAGCATTATTTTTGTTGGCGCTGTTGTGGCAGGGTGGGCACCGCACCCGGGACCGCTGCGGCGCAGCGCGCGG